CGCCCTGAGCCTTCGGGGTAGGGCGGGGTATAAATTTAAATATAAATAAATAAATAAAATAAATAAATATATGTCCTTTAAATAGCTTGATTTTCAAAGCTGATCAAGTGCCAATATATTTTTGAAAGGGTGGCTTGCTACACAAGTCACATGATGCTTCCTGCTCCTGAGTCAGACCATCAACTTGCCAAGGTCAACGTCGTCTGTTGTGACTGGAAGCGGTGCTCTCAGGTCTCAGGCTGAGGTCTTTCACATCTCCTGCTACCTGCTCCTTTTAACTGGAGACTGAACCTGGGACCTTCCGTGTACAAAGTAGATGCCCTGCCCCTGACCCAGAGCCCCACTCCAAATCTAGAAGAGAAGTTCTTCAAAGACGAATCACAAAATCATTTGGGGGTGGCCTTGAGTTTCATGCATCTTCTATCTAACCTTTTTTGATTGTTGTCTATTTTTGGAGTGGTAAAGCAGAATTGTGTGGGCCTGCTTAACTAGGGTATGTTGTGGTGCGGTTTTAATAGGGTACTGGATATGTTTGTGTCGTGCTGTTGTTATGTTCATGCGTAACATAGTATCTTGAGCAAAATAATTTATTCTCAAAATTACCCTGTGAAGTAGGCTAGACTAAGAAATAATGGCTAACTAGTGGGCTTTGTGAACCCAGCTTTCCTTGGTCCAAGGTCCAGCAGTTCATCCACTTCATTGGCTCGGCATCTCAACTGTATATTTGCTTGTGCCCTGTTACAAATGCATGCATCTTCCCGGTATTTATTTACATGTCCTCTTAAGGAAGCACTGAAAGAAATGTGGCATGAGGCATAGTTATAGGACTGAAACAGCCTTGGTCACCCTGGTGGATGACGTGTGTTGGGAGATGGACAGAGGGAATGAGACTGTTGGTTCTCCTGGATCTCTCAGCATCTCTTGGTACCATCGATCACGGTATCCTTCTGGACTGCCTACCTGGTCTGGGATTGGGAGGCACCATTCTGTGATTGCTCAGGTCCTACCTTCAGAAGGTAGTGCTGGAGGTCTGCTGCTCCGCCCCTTCACCTTTGTGGTCCCACAAAGTTCAGTCTTGTCTCCTATGCTCTTTAACATCTGCATGAAACTGCTGGGTAAGATCGTCTGGAGATCTGGGCTGGGTTGTCGCCAATATGCGGCTGATACTTCTGTCTGATCCCAGAGAGGCTGAACTGGTACCGGGCGGCAGTTTTGGAATGGGTGTGGGCTAATAAACTGAAGCTTAATCCTGACAAGGCGGAAGTGCTACTGGTGGGAGGAAGGTCTGACCTGGGATTTAAGGTGTCATCCATTCTGGATGGGGTTGCATTCAGTGTTCTCTCTAAGCACCACAGTGTTGTGAGCAGAAGTTCTACCTTGTGAGTGAAAAAAGCTAGTAGCATTAAAGTTGTGAGCAAGTCTACACTTGACTATAGTGTAAATTAGTTTTTAGATTATTTCCGTAGCCTTGTAAAAATCTCAGAACAAATTCTTTTAAATTATATTTAAACTATATTTTCAGAATAATTTAAACATTATAAGAGAAAATGGAATCAAGTCAAATTTCACCCACCCCTTTCCACTATTTTTGGTAGACCTGTCCTCCGGAAATCAGATCTACCTGCCTCAGTTCACTATATTGGTAGACCTGGATTCCGGAGGACAGGCTGTGATGGAGAATCGATCCGGAGATATCTGGGGCTCTGGGGGGAGGCTGTTTTTTGAGATAGAGGCACCAAATTTGCAGCATAGCTGCTGGTGCCTCTCCTCAAAAAACTCCCAAGTTTCAAAAAGATTGGACTGGGGGGTCCAATTCTATGAACCCCAGAAGAAGGTGCCCCCATCCTCCATGGTTTCCAATGGAGGGGAAAATGCCTAATCTTGGTTCACTTGTAGGCTGCACTGCCAGCTAAGTTCCCTGTGCTGCCAGCTAAAATACTGTGGTCCAGTACCTCCTAGTGCAGTTTTCAGGGAACTTTGATTGCATCCCCCTTGAGGGAACAGGTTTGTAGTCTGGGGATGCTCTTGGACCCAGGCATACTGCTGGGTAAGCAGGTGGGAGCTGTGGCCAGAAGTGCCTTTTACCAGCTTTTTAAAAATAAGTTTTATTTATAACATTTACATTATGACGTGTATATATATCTAGCACTATACAGTATACTCAAAGGTTTGGAGTCAAATATTCTAATTGTTATCTAACCAAGTATACAGTCTCTTCCATCTTTTCATAAACATTTGTTCTTCTTTACCTTGCAATATAATCGACAATTTATCAATTTCTGCAATCTCCAACATTCTATATACTAAATCCTCTTTTGAAGGTATTCTCTCTGATTTCCAGTGTGTTGCAAACAAAATGTAAGCAGCTGTTAATATATAAGTTATTACATGAGAGCCAGTTAATATATAAGTTATTACATGAAAGCCAGTTATTACTGAGAGCCAGTTTGGTGTAGTGGTTACCCAAACCAGAATGGAGCATATTGAAATCCCACTACTATCTCAGAAGTAGGCAAAATTTTGGGTGGTGGGGCGTTGGGAAATCCTGTGGGGCAGCAGAGCATGGGGGACGAGCGAGAAAGAGAGAAATGAGAAGAATAACGCGGTGTACTGTGGCTAAATTTAGATTTTAAAAAAGTATTATAATTTTGGAGAGCATGTTTTGCAGGGCGGGGCTGGTAATTAAGGGGGCGTGGCCCTGAGATGCCCCACTGTGGCTGTGGACCTGATATGTGGCATCCATTGTATGCAAATTTAGTTCTAGAGTCCCTCCAAAGCATAACAAATGCCCCCTGCCATACCCAGTGTTTCCAAGTTGTCTCATAATGCTGAACACGCTCTTGGAGTTTAACTAGATTGGGACAAAGTTGTCCTGGCTTGATGTGCAAAGAGAACTTGTCTGTTGGTGTGGTGCAGCTTGGAAGGGCGGTATGAACAGCTCCCAGGAGCAGGTACGGATTCCTGCTCGATCCCTCCCTATTAAGAGGTATGACTATTCTAGGAGGCGGGGGGAAGGATCTTCGTGGCAACCTTTAAAAAATGTTTAAGTTCCTTGAGGTTCTTTGTAGCCTGCTCATGCTCTTTCCCATTGATCTCTTTGTGACCAGGGGCCAAATTGCATGTGACGCCGGGGATCTGTGTTCATATCCCCAGATGCAAAAAGCACTTATGGGGGAACGTTGTTCTTGCTCCCCCTAATCCAGTAAATGCCATTTCCAAGCCCCCAGAAGAGAAAAAGACGTACTTCTGTCCCTGCAAAATTGACCTCCAGCAGCTGAGTGTCTTTGATTTGTACAGTACAATCGTTATTTTCTTGAATCACGGAAACGGTGTTCATTGCCAACCTAAAGCGCATCGGCTCAAGTGACCGGGCTCCCCATCACCCAGCGTGTAAGCCCCTGTCCTAATAAGCACAGCTGACTTGTCTAGCTAGATTAGGTAGGACTCTTGCTTTGTAGACAGATGCTGACTTGTATTGGGTGGGGATTTTGTTCTAACCTGTTTACTGCTCTGGACTGAATCATACGTGGCGCAGCACACTGTAGGGTAGTTGGTGATACATGCCACAGAATTAATTTTGTTTCTCTCCCCCACCCCCTTCCTTTGTCTCCTTTCCAAGGCCTGCTCCTTTGTTGAAAAATGCTCAGTTATCAGACACAAAAGCTCGGGAGCTGTACCTGCAAGTCATCCACTACATGAGAAGAATGTATCAGGATGCAAAACTTGTTCATGCAGATCTCAGCGAATTTAATATGCTGTATGTGTTTTGAACCTTCATGTCGATACCTCTTTTAATAATGTATGGAAGTTGCGTTGTACAGCTCTGCCCTCGGGCCTGGGTGTCCTCCTCCTGGCGCTGCAAGCTTGTGAATGTATGCTGTTGCTAAAGACATCGTCCAGGCATTCAGAGCAGTTCTCAAAAACAATAAAATAGCTTAATTTATCTTTAAAAGGTAAAGGTTCCCTTGCTCGAAAGCCAGTTGAGTCCGACTCTAGGTTTGCGGTGCTCATCTCCGTTTCAAAGCCGAAGAGCCAGTGCTGTCTGAAGACGTTAACGTGGTCATGTGGCCAGCGTGACTAAACACCAAGGCGCACGGAACGCTGTTCCCTTCCCACCAAAGTGGTACCTATTTATCTACTTGCAGTTTCTTGCTTTCGAACTGCTAGGTTGGCAGGAGCTGGAACTAGAGATGGGAGCTCACTCCGTCATGCGGCAACTCGGGTCTTGAACTGCTGAACTACCGACCTTCCACAGCCTGCAGTTCAGCGTCTTAACCACTTGAGCCACCCCAGCTCTGGCCACTTTTAAAGGGGGATTAGATTAATGGAGGATAGATCTCGGGTCTCGAACTGCTGAACTACCGACCTTCCACAGCCTGCAGTCCAGCGTCTTAACCACTTGAGCCACCGCAGCTTATTTTAGGAAGTGACTAAATGATTGGGATGAGCTTTTGTTGTCCATTTCCTAAAATCACTTTCGGGGTTCCCTGAAAGCTGGCTAGTTTTCTGCAGTGCAGTCGGGGTTCCCTGAAAGCTGGCTAGTTTTCTGCAGTGCAGTTGGCATTAGGAATGAGATCTGTTGAGCAATCCTCTTCACATGCCTGAGATTATGATAACTATACTTTAAACAGCATATTTCAAGTGTTCTCATGTATCATTTCACTGTCCTTTAAAACCAGTGCTTAAATTACTGGAGAAGGGCAGGGCTTGAATGATTCATTGAGGGCTTCCCTTTTCTCCCTCTCATCATTTAAGAATGGTTTAGAACGGCCCTGCAAGGCAAGCCAGATGGTGGCAGCCTAGGCTAGAATATGGTGGCTTGCACAGGGGCTGCTGGCTATGTGCAGATTCGAACCAAGGATTTCTCAGCTCTCACTCAGATGAAACAAGGGAGTTGCTGTGAACATGCAAAGAGCTATTCTTCAAATGACTGCTCTGAAAGGCTGGCAAGCGTTGCCGATTGTACCACAAACTTCCACTGTTTTCTTAAACAAAATCCTTTATCTGGGCTCCAGTTTTCAGGATATTCAGTTGCTGACATAAGAGTAGCAGTTCTCTTACAAAGGAATTTCAAAGGGAGACAAGAAAGTGAGACTGCTGAATTGCAGCTGATAATGAAGCTCAGGACAATGCATCCACCTGGACTGGACAGAGACCTAGGTTTCATGTCTATTTACCAATGCTGATTTTGCCTCCCCCGTCCCTGTCTGATTCAGGTATCACAGTGGGGAGGTGTATATCATAGATGTGTCCCAGTCTGTGGAGCATGACCACCCACACGCTTTGGAATTCCTGAGGAAAGACTGTGCCAACGTTAATGGTGAGTGGAAGGGGATTTGCCTTCATTTTGTAATAGTCTGTATGAATAAGTTCAGAGCTCTACGAGGATTCTACTTTGGAGAATGACAAAGGTGTTTATTGGCAGATGGTCTGGAATGGTCACCAGCAGGCACGTGCGTGAAGATAAACAAGCAAGGCCATTTAAAGGTGCAGTTGACAACCTTGTGTATCCAGAGCATTTGTTAGGATCAGTGATTCTCCCACAAAATGTGATCATTCAGCTTTCATTAAAAATAGGGGACAGTTGGCAGAAAACAGTTTTGAGTTGCTTGAAATCTCCGTTCTGTCGGTGTGTTTTGTAGAGCTGGCAAATGTAGACTTGGCCACTTCAGAACTGAAATACAGAATTGGAGATTTCCAGAATTAAAAACAGGCTATTCCAAATGCCTTTTCAGTTCAGTTGCATTTGGAAGACCACTTGCTGAACCATGGCGGATCCAGGAGAACACTCAATGGGTGCAGTCAGACGGCATGCTGAGAGCGGGTTAAACTGCTTTGGTTCTGACTGGATTATATTTGATCCGGATAATCGCAATCACTCTTACCTCCCTTATCCCGCCTCACCATGCAGTCACGTTGCTTCCCAGCGTCTACACTACCGATGCACAGGAGCGTGTGTTGGTGGGTTTTAAATTTTTTTTCTCAGTTTGCGCATGCGCATAGGCGCTCATTTGTAGAATGGGGGGCGAAACTACCATGGCACATGCGCAGAACCACCAGGGCGAATCAATCCAACCCCTCCAACAAAAGACTTCCCTTTAAACATTTGACCCGAAAATGGCCTCCGTGAGATCCCGAACTCATCTAAACTCTAAAACAAGTGACCGTTTAAATGTTGGTTTTCTAAACACGGTAGCGGAGCTCTGCCTATGTGCACACCACCGACCCTAAAAAAACAAATGGCGGGCGGAAAGCAGAAGCCTCGGGCAGCTTTCGAGCAGGGAGGGGGTTTAAACTGGAGGTGGCTTGACACCGGAGGAGCAATCACACGGGGGGAAATGCGGCTTTAAACGGGAGAGCTGAGAAAACACCACTTTGGGACCTGGTAACAAAAGACTCTGGGTTAAAGCGGTTTTGAGCCAGAAATCAATGGCTGGGGACGGGAGGCAGATGTTGACTGTGTGATCGTGCAGATAAAATCCGTTACTGAAGCATGACGAAAGCTGATCAAACAGCCCGTCTGAACGCACCCAATAAGGCTGCCCTGAGTTCTGTCAAACAGTAATATCCCGCAAACCTCCTAGGAGCCTTCACGGGTCTTCAGAACCTGCCGTCTGGGTTTGTTTCCAGCATGCTTTATGGAGGTGGCAATAGTAATTTAAAACTGCAGGGGTTTTTTTTACCACCACTTCTGTCCTTCCCGGCAGACTTTTTCCGGAAATACAGCGTCGCAGTGATGACTGTAAGAGAGCTCTTTGAGTTTGTCACAGATCCGTCTATTACGAGTGAGAACATGGACGCTTACCTTGAAAAAGTGAGTCTGGGGAATCTTGACTCCATAGTGAAAACAGAAGTATTTATAGAGCCCTTTATCGCGAGACTTTCTCTGCCTGGTATGGTTGTGTGTGCAGAGTGCTGTCAGGTTGCAGCTGAGTTCCGGAGACCCCCAGCAAGGGACTTTCAAGGCGAGTGAGAAGCAGAGGTGGTTTGCCATTGCCTCTCTCTGCAAACTCTTCCTTGGTGGTCTCCCTTCTAAGCGCCAACCCCGCTTGACTTCTGAGATCTCACAAGACAGAGCTATACTATGTTGCCTTCCCTCCCCGCTCCCACTGACTGTAGCTGCTGTGTTTCCTTATGAATACTTCACCTCCCGGAGTTAGAACAGTGGCCAGGGAGTGGCAGCAGCTATGGGCATGTGCACTTTCCGAGGGCTGAATAGAGAAGCAGGGCAAGCCTCGGATGGCTTTGAAGTCAACAGTGGAGAATCAGGGAACTATGCAGAAACACCGAGCGAGGAAATGCAAGGAATGGTGACCAGCTAGACTGCTCTTTCTGATACCATTGGTTTATTATCACTTGCAATTATGTTCTGTAGGTGATGGAAATAGCATCCCAGAGAACAGAAGAAGAAAGGTCTAATCAAGATAATGTGGATGAAGAGGTAAGCCATTGATTGGGAAGGCGGGGGGGTCCTTCTAAATGTGCCATGTGCCTTAAAAACCATCATCAATATTTTGACAACAATTGCTTCGCATGAAACTGCCTTATACTGAATCAGACCCTTGGCCCATCTACTCAGACTGGCAGCAGCTCTCCAGGGCCTCAGACGGAGGTCTTTCACATCACCTGCTGCCAGATCTTTTACCCAGAGAGGCCAGGGATTCAACCGGGGACCTTCTGCATTCCAAGCAGGTGCTCTACCCCGAGCCGCAGCCCCTGAAGTCCCTGTCAAATGTTGTTACAGTTCTTAAACACCCGCAATATGATTTTCTTCTTTGCGGTCAGTTCAGTTTCATGAACTCGAGCCTTAGCAGCCTGAGGATCCTTATTCTAATTTTAAAATGTTTTGTAGCCCTCCAAACTGTGTGCTTCCTCCCTTGCTGGCATACCCCCCCCCCCTCGCGAGCAGCAAGCCATCTTCTAACATACCCAGCCAGAAGAAGCTGGGCTATCGGGCTGCTGTGCCAAACTTTAGGTCACACATGTTTACCAAGTGCTTGTTTTTAAAACAGAGAGTGGTTGTGGATTGTATATGTTAATTTTATATCAGCTGTGGTGTTGAAATCTATGTGTTCAAGTTAAAATATACATTTTTAAATGCTGTGGCAAAGTAAATGGAAGAACCAAAGCAATTGTGAATCGGTTTGAAAGCTTGCGGTAATTTCGTCTTGTTAGGTGTTCAAGAAAGCCTATATCCCAAGGACGCTTACTGACGTTAAGAACTACGAGAGGGACGTGGACATCATGATGAAGCTGAAAGAAGAAGACGTGGCCTTAAGTGTGCAGCAAGATAATGTAAGTAGCCTGGAATGGTTGGACACCCAAGAGAGGACCTTAATTTGAGGTTTGTGGTGCTGAGAAATACCGTTTATGTTGTGGTTATATTGCATCCTTGTATACTGAGGATGTTGGTAAAAGCAGTAAATCTGTTTGCTTTGTGGATGATTCATTGTCTCAGCAGTACTCTGAAGTATGCTTGGTGGCAGGGTGCCGTAGTTTACTGCTGTGTTTATTTTATTGCTTTTTATCTCTAGGGATTGTTGCCCTAAGCCTAGGAAGAACAGCATAGAAAAATCTTTAATATAAGTATACGAAATAAACAATTATACTTTTTAATTGGGGTTGCTTGAGGTACTTGGTATGTTTAAAGTATACTATGTACATGTTGATTTTTTAAATTTTCTTTGCTTGTTTTTGTTTTTGCACAGATTCTCTACCAGACAGTTACAGGGTTAAAGAAGGATTTATCAGGTGTTCAGAAGGTGAGATGGTGATGGGTTAGAGCTGTAGGATTCAACACAATGTCTCTGGGACTGCATTCTTCAATAATAGTAAAAATGTAAAAGTAAAGGTTCCCTTGCTCGAAAGCCAGTCGAGTAAAACCTTAACATTTAGGGAGAAATTGTTTTAAAATGTACAGCCTGCTTCTTCAAGGCATGAAGCCTCTAACAATTATATTAAAAATTTAAAAAGCCCAATTCTATCATAGCCCCCCCATGCTTAAACCATAACAGCACAGCTATATCTGATCAATTCAAATCTGAATCCAGTTCAGTACCCAAAGGCCACACAGGCATAAAAACAGCCATACGTAACTTCCAGAATCTTGCCACAGAAGTTGTGCTCTGTGCATCTTCTCTGGGAGACCATTCAACGGGGTGGAGGGAAACAGTTGAGGATCCTTAAGGAGGCTAAACAAATTTCATGAAAAGGTGGGATTAAGGTTGTCATCTCTGATTTTGGAAATACCTGGAGATTTTGGGGGTGGAGCCTGAGGAGGGTGGGGTTTGAGCTGGGGTGGGACTTCAATTGTATATAATGCCATAGAGTCCACCTTCCTTCCAAAGTGGCCATTTTTTTCTGGGTGAATTGATCTCTGTCACCTGGAGATCACTTGTAATCCCAGGAGATTTCCAGACACCACCTGGAGATTATGTACAAAACAGAAGGTCACAGCTAACAATAAACAATTAGCAAAAAAGCAACAAAAGCTGTCAAAATTACTACCTTTACTAGCATGCCCGTCTTTGAAAGTTACCTTTGTAATGAATTAGGATCAGTTTGATTACCTTTCTGAATGATTGCAATCTGATGAATGAATTAACAGAAGACACAATTTTTGTTACCTTGACCGCGTTCGGAAGAAGTTTTCACGAAACGGAAATGTACTCCGGGGAATTTTGTCAACGCTTATACATCTTCCCATGACTTCTTAACACTTCCCAAAAAGGACTTTTTGAATATACTTACCTGCTGTTGTAACATTGTATTCTTTTGTGTCAACATGTGCTACATGGTGCAATTTTGACAGCTTTTGTTGCTTTTTGAGTTCAGCATGGGGTCACCTACTGGTTGGGCTGCCAATCTGGAGATTGGCAGCCCAACCAGTAGGTGACCCCATGCTGAACTCAGCAGCTTTTTGCGTATGTGTTCAAGATGACCTGGCTGGAACCTCTCTTACAATACAGTATTCCTACTGCATACATTTCAGCTTCATCATTTTGATTACTCTGTCTTGTCGAATCATATTCTTCAATTCAGACATTGTGGCAAATCACTTTCACTTTATTCAGGTTTAACAGCTCGTAAGCCATACCCCAAGAAAACATTTAAGAATTAAAAACAACAGCAAAGAAGCCACGTCGACCCTACAAGGTTTACAAAAGCTGTTCAGAAGCGAACTTAATTTATGGGTATTTATTGATTTGATTTATACCCCGCCCTTTCCACCAAGGCAGGCTCCAGGGCGGCTATCAGAAGTGGCTGAATATTAACAACTGTTCCAGAAGAAATTCTCCCCTGACAACAGTGTGTTTGGAACAATAAAAGAAAACCTGCAATTATCAAGCAGCCGTTGACAAGGAGCAATCGCAAAAATGGTGTTCTGAAGGAATCCCAGCAAATCATATTTTATGTCAATCACAGCCAAATTGCTGATCTGTGCTCATTTTTCTTTTTTCTCAGCACTGTAAATTCACCCCCATCTTTTGTGGCTCAGTATTTTGAGTGGCAAAGTGAAGACCGTACCATAATGCAGTACAAAATACAGTTTATAAACCCACATATAATAGTTTCGGATTCTAGTTTGCTGGCCCACTGGAAACCATGGCTTTGTCATTTCAATCATCACATCGAACCATATAGCTAATCCTCTTTAACCATGTTTCAGCATGACGTCTGAACCTTCTAGGTCACCCCACTTGCAGAAGCAGGATTCTCTAGACTTGACAAATGCATATCTGATCTGTTCTGCCTAATCTCCAAGTTCCCTATTTGTGCTTACAGTTAGGCTGGATAGCAGGGAAACAGGATGTAACTCAGCTTTGTTGCTACTGAAATGCCACTGGATCAAAGGGAGGAGAGGCTGTCCTTTGATCATCAAAAAAGTTCTGCTTATTGACTGTATGGCCAGCAGGGGCATGAGGAAGGGGTAGCATTCTCTTGGTGATGGGTAGCATTCAGCGGACCCCCAGCCATTGCACAGCAGGGCAGGAAAGAGGTGTCGGTGGGATTCGGCACCTCTCAGATCAGTTTTGCGCAGGAATTACGTGTGTGTGTGTGTGTATATATAAAGTGTCCTAAAGGTGCAACCGACTTAACGGCGACCCCAGCAAGGCACTTTCAAGGCAAGTGAGAAGCAGAGATGGTTTGCCTTTGCTTTCCTCTGCAGAGCCTTCCTTAATGGTCTTCCTTCCAAGTGCCAACCCTACTTAGCTTCCGAGATCTGACCAGATCAGGCTAGGCTGTGCCATCTTCTCTCCTGCAGCAAGTCCATAGGGTGCCAAAAAAGTATTCTTGCCACTCTTGGTTGCTAAAAAGAAAAGTTGCATCTAAGCTCAGTGACTTCAATGAATGTACAGTGGTGTAACTCCTCAGGCCTACACTGTTAATTTGCTTTGTTTCCACAGCTAACTGATGGGGGGGGGAGAAAAAAAGTATAGGACTTAACGAAGGGGAGAGGTTATGCTGGGGGTCACGGGACCCTCAAGAGTTCCAGTAAGCCTTCTTCCTCTTTTCACAATAGCCTTTTCCATATTTGACAGCTTCTGGTCTTCACCTGTTGGCAGACTAAAATGTGTAGTTTTTTGGATTCTTATTCGAGTTCGAAGCACATGACACTGCGAAAATAGACAGAAGGCTGGCTTGCACATGCATGCTCATTGCTTGATGAGTCATAGCTGAATCTGTTAACTGGCTTCACAGAAGAGCCTTGGGTTGGGTCCAGTAACTCCCGTCTACCAAGTTGTGTCCATTTACTCAGTGGCTTTTAGCCACAAGGTATAGATAGGAACTCTCAGTCTGGGGCAAGGGATGCTCTGTATTCTTGATGCTTGGGGGGGGGCAACAGTGGGAGGGCTTCTAGTGTCCTGGTCCCACTGGTGGACCTCCTGATGGCACCTGGTATTTTTGGCCACTGTGTGACACAGAGTGTTGGACTGGATGGGCCATTGGCCTGATCCAACACTGGCTTCTCTTATGTTCTTATGTACTCCACTGTGCATGATCCTGCTCTGTTAGAGAGAAGCAGAAGGGAGTCATTGGATCCAGCCTCTTATGTTGAAGCAATATAAAAATTTTAGCTGTGTTGTTTCTCTGATGTTTCATTCCCATAAGAACATAAGAGACGCCAATGTTGGATCAGGCCAAAGGCCCATCCAGTCCAACACTCTGTGTCACACAGTGGCCAGAAATACCAGTGCCCTCAGGAGGTCCAGCAGTGGGGCCAGGACATTAGAAGCCCTCCCACTGTTGACCCCCCCCCCCAAGCACCAAGAAGACAGAGCATCACTTGCCCCAGAGCCCCTATCTATACCTTGTGGCTAATAGCCACTGATGGACCTCTGCTCCATATGCTTTATCTAATTCCCTTTTGAAGCCGTCCATGCTTATTCATGGCATATTCATGGCATCTCTGTTTGCTCTGGTGATCAAGTAAAAGGATACATGTGTGTTGGACAAGCCTGTCTGAATTAGTTCAGAGAAAGATTCAGGTGGGGCAGCCATGTTGGCCTGAAGCAGCAGAACAAAGTTTGGGTCCAGTGGCACCTAGAAGACCAACACAGTTTAATTCAAGGTATAATAATAATAAGAGGTTGGATTTATACCCCGCGCTTCACTCGGAGTCTCAGAGTGGTTTACAAACTCCTTTCCCTTCCCCTCCCCACAACAGGCACCCTGTGAGGTAGGTGGGGCTGAGAGAACTCCTCTTTCAAGAACAGCTCTGACAGAACTACGGCTTGCCCAAGGTCATCCGGCAGTTGCAAGTGGAGGAGTGGGGAATTGAACCCAGTTCTCCCAGATTAGAGTCCGCGCACTTATCCACTGCACCAAAGTGGCTCCCACTTTTGAGAAGAAGTGTGCTTGCACAGGAAAGCTTATATCTTGAATTGAACTATGTTGGTCTTAAAGGTGCCCCCCTGGACTCAAGGAGTTCAGAGGAAAAGTAGCATAAATTGTGGGAAAAGGATAACAGTCCAAGATGTTATGGGTTGGGGATCTATGAGGACTCGCGAGGGAGGGCAGATCTCCACCCCTTCCTGTAGCCCCTGCTTCTTTACTCTTGAAGGCCCTTCTTCGCTCCTCCCACTCTGGCTCTGCTCCCCGACTTGACCTTTTCTCCTCCAGTCATCCAGCCTCCCAAGACGTTTTTCTTCTCATTCCCTCCCCCCAGTGATCTTTCTGGGCCCCCCCACTCACTACTTATTTGTCTGTGGTGTGCCCATTTTGTTTTTGCCGTTTTCTTGCATCGATTTGAAAAGCCACCTGGAGCTTTTAGTGATGTCTGCTTACGTGCAGACCTTACCGTTAATAGGGGAGAGTTAGCTCCACAGCATTTTTTAAAAAAACTTTTCATATGTCTCTTCAGGGCTTTTTTTTTGGTAGAAAAAGCCCAGCAGGAACTCATTAGCATAATAGGCCACACCCATGACAGTACAGCCCATTAGCGTATTAGGCCACACCCCCACGCCTTCCCTTGGCTTGCCCAGGTGCCCCTTGAAGGGAAGGGAAGGCAGCAGCTGCGGGGAGCCCAGGCAAGCCAGCCCTTGGACAGGCCGGGGAAGGCACGGGGAGGCATTTAAATGCCTCCCCGATCCTTCCAGGGCCCCCACTGGCCTGCCTGCCTCAGAGTCACCGGGGGGGGGTTGCTCTCCAGGCCTTCCCTCTGTAACCACACACATACACAGGTTTTGGCTGTAGTGGGCGTGGCCAACTCTGAAGCCAGCCGAAACTCCGTTCCGGTGCGTTCCTGCCCAAAAATAGCCCTGTAACACCTGGGGTCTTTCCTAGGTTTGCAGGAAAATATGCCTTTATATCTGAGCCGTGGATTTTTGATCCTCTGGGGGTGAGCTCCAATAGCTGTTAGATATGTGATATCAAGGGAGCTCAGCTATGCTGGAAGAACAAATGTAATATGATTCAAGTGGGAGCAAAGAAAGGATGTTATTGGAGTTCTGCAGCAAGACAGATAGATGGTAACAGGCTGGTAGCCAGGATTTTATTGTCTGTGGGGCAAAAAATTTTTCTGGTGGGGCTGAACTTCACGGCAGAGCTATCCATCCTCAAAGCCTTAAAGTTCAGGGGCAGAATAACAAGACTCCGTTGTCCCCTCAGGTTCCCGCTCTGCTTGACAATAAAGAAGAAACAGAATCTGATTCGGAGGACGACGGCAGTTCCGACGACTCCAAACCGGCTTGTAAAGAACAAGAGGAGTCTGTGCATCCTAAAGATCAGCCAGCTGAGACGGGCGTGGATAAAAAGGTTAGTCAGTCACCTTTCCTCAGCCAAGGGCATCCTTGCCTTGGAGGCTGTGGCATTTCTGAGGGAAATACGATGCGATTTCCCCTCTCTTCCTCCGAGCCCTGACCTGGATAGCTCAGGCTAGCTCAGTCTCGTCAGATCTTGGAAGCTAAGCAGGGTTGACCCTGGTCAGTATTTGGATGGGAGGCCTCCATGGAATACCAAGGTCGTAACGTAGAGACAGGCAATGGCAGGCCACCTCTGAATGTCTCTTGCCTTGGAATCCTATGGGGGGGTCACCATAAATCAGCTGTGACCCGATGGCTGCTCGTCTGAGTAGACAGTACTGACTTCGATGGAGCCAATGGAAGGTACAATCCACCTCTGAATATTCCCAGTCTAGCACAAGGAATAACCATTTTTCATATCCAGCAGGACTAATTACTGCCAATATTTTTGCTAGTGGTGTTGGGACTGTTCCATCAAAAGTAAAAAAACCTGTTTAGTGCATTGTTACATTGTTATATACAAGACCAAAATGGTGCCAGTATGAATCTTTTAGCACCCAGATCCATTGGGCCGTGCATGTGGCTCATCACCAAAATGAAAAAAAAAAATCTACATTTAACACTATGATAGACAACCTCAAGCAGACTCTGGAAAGGCAGGGAATGAATAATCTCAGTCAGTCATCAGCATAGGTGAGACCACAGAGCCTTTCAAGGACTTTATAATTCTGGTCCCCTAGAGATGATTCTGCATCCCCAATGGAAACTTGTGGAGTCCGGTGGAATAGCAAATTGTCCAGCTGAACAGAAAAAGCAGCAACCCTGAAGAAGCAGTTCCCATGTCCCCTTCCGTTTTTATCCCAGACACTCTAATTTGATGGAATGATCAACAAGTTCAGGGTCTTTAGATGCGTCAAGATTGAAGGATCCACAGGGATGCATTTGTAAACAGAAATCATCCCGTATACAGCAGTTAAAGCTGTCTCCATCCCAAAACCAGGCCTGAAGCCAGACTGAAATCCGTCACGGGCAGGAGTTTTGTTTGGGTATGCCTGCAGTTGATCGACTGGCTTTTCCCCAAAAAGGAAGATAGGAAATGAAACTACAATTGGTTGGGTTCTGTTTTGCCAGGCAAGACTTTTTAAGCAGCCTCCTTTTAAAGCTTTTAGAAAGTTCCTTTCCATTAGTAACATATTAATAAACCTAGTGAGAGAACAAATAATCTCAATCATTTTATGTTGACATTTTGGGGTGGGGGGTGGGGTTGCATTTACCAGTGGGTGCATTGTTCAGAGATGGATGCCATTAATCATAGCTTTTTCACTCCAACATATAATACTTCTTGTAACTTTTATACAGAGCTTACGTTGAGGAGTCAAAGAGTTTTGTGTATTTTATCTTTTATTCTGTGTAAGGACAGGGCAGTACAACCAAACTTGGATAGCACAGGCTAGCCTGATTCCGTCAGGTCTTGGAAGCTAAGCAGGGTCAGCTCTGGCTAATATTTGGATGGGAGACCACCAAGGAGGTCCGGGGTTGCAATTTGAGAGACAGGCCATGGCAAACCACCTCTGAACATCTCTTGCCTTGAAAACCTTGTGGAGTCACTATAAGCCGGCTGCAACTTGACGACACTGTCCACCACCACAGTACGATGAGGCTGAAAGATAGGGGTCATCCAGTGCGTTTGTAAATAAGCTGGGACTTGAACTGGGTCCTGCATCCCACCCATATAGGAGAAGAGTTGGTTTTATACTCCACACTATAAGAGCGGCTTATAAGAACATAAAAGAGAAGCCAATGTTGCATCAGGCCAATGGCCCATCCAGTCCAACACTCTGTGTCACACAGTGGCGAAAAATACCAGGTGCCATCAGGAGGTCCATCAGTGGGGCCAGGACACTAGAAGCCCTCCCACTGTTGCTTACAATTGCCTTCCCCTCCCCTCCCCACAACAGGCACCCTGTGAGGTAGGGTGTGTTGAGAGAGCTCTGAGAGATCCGTGAGTGGCCCAAGGTCACCCAGCAGGCTTCATGCAGAGGAGTGGGGAATCAAACCCGGTTCTCCAGATTAGAGTCCACCGCTCTTAAGCAACCACACTGGCTCTCCAGATACACAAAAAATAAACTTCCGCTGTCTTCAGTAAGAAAGGGGTGTGGAAATGGAGGAGCCAGCAGTTTCCCAAAGTGGACATTGTGAAAATATGGGGTTGAATTATTTATGGTTCTTTGGGGGCGGGACCTGACTCTGAGGACAATCCATGTTGCCCTAATCATCCTCACTCTTCCGTGACGTAATCAGCCTCACCTGCTACTGAGACGATTTGCTTTCCCTGATGTTTTTTCTTTCTTCCTCCTCGTCCAGGAAAGAAAGAAGATGACTAAAGAGGCTCAGCGAGAGAAGAGGAAACACAAGATCCCAAAACACGTAAAGAAGCGAAAAGAGAAGACTGCAAAAACGAAGAAGGGCAAATAAATCCCCGTTGGCCTTTTAGGGCAGTGTTAGCCACTCATGACTTTACGGGACCGTATTTTGGTAGCAGAATACTCCTCCTTCACCCCTTTCACCTTGGTGAATCACAAACAACCACTGTGGCAGGGCACGCTGCTGGCAGGAAAGCTGGGCCTCAGTCCTCTTGTGGGTTTGTGCATATAGTAGTCAGTAGAGCTCGTTGGCAATGGGTTGGACCCCGTGGCAGACTTCTGCTAACGGAAAGTGGGGGAGTGATGATTTTTAATAGCTATTCCTTTCCCACTGCAGACCTCCAATTTACTCCTTGTGTTCCCCCCCCCCAGCGCTCCTCCCCCCTCGGCAGCATTTCAGAGAGTATTATGGGCTGCAGGGGAACGGAAGGGATTGATGAAGTTCCGTTCTGCTAACACAATTCCCTTCCGTCTGTGGAAAGCACTGCTGGATCCAACCCAGTGTATTCTTGGATATTTTAATGGGGACTTTCGGCCAGTCCAGAGGAATTTATACAGTTCTGTAGTGTTATGAGGATCTCTAGCAGTGCTCTATGCAGCACCGAAGGCCTTTACTTTCCATGCGCAAGAGGGACAGATAATTATCTACATACATGTATGTAAATACATATATATAGATATTATTTAATCTCATGCACTGAATTATCAAGTAGATTGACGTACGGTGTTTTATTGGTTTTTTAATTTATATCTTCTCCGTGGCTACTCACAATCTGTCAGTGTCGCAGTACTTTCCCTCAGCACTGATGGGATGCAATTGGGGGTGGGGGGGTGGGACATGTTTGCAAAAATGATGCTCTCAGTTGCGCTAGCCTAAAAGCTGGGGCAGCCGGTGGAGAAGAGCCCCAGTACAGCTTACACTACCCCACTGCTGCTGAAGGGCTGAGGATGAGATCCAACCTGCTGCTGTCCGGGCTCAGCCTCTTGCTCCCAGGCGGGGGGGGGGGAGCCCTCCTGCTTGGCCAGCCAGCTCCATCCTTTCTTCTCTCTTAGGAGATGTGACCTTCCTTCCCTTACATCTATGGTTGTGGACAGAACTGCTTGCTTCAATGATAAAGAGAATGCCCATTTTTGCTATTTCTGCCATCTTCGTTGTCCGAGCGCTTAACTTAAATGATAAACGTCTAAGAATGATCTGTCTGTTTTTAGACAGCAAAGGGTCTGAAATCAGGTTCAGAGACTCAAAGGCTGCCATGTTTGGGGCACTTCTGCGAGTACTTTTCTTTCAAATTCTTGTAAGCAGTGCTAGGTCTAAGCAAATGCACTGCAAAAGGCTAACGATATGGTGTGGGTTTTTTTTAAAGCAGCAGTGGTGTTCTAACAGCTGTGCAAACTAACTTTTTATATCCGTTACTGAAGGTTCCCTTCTGTTTTGAAATAAAACTGAACACAGTCTACATTATGCTTTGTGTGGATACTGAGGATTTCATTAGAAGGGGTTTTTAAGATTATGTATTGTGCCTAATGCTAGGGGCACTACATATTTCTTGCAAGGTACGGCATTCAGGAGTTTTGGAAACTGCTTGAGAAACAACTGGGGCTGTAGATTTTAGCAGCCTGAACAGAATCCCTAAACTTGAGCTTCATTTTTTAAAGTCACTAATTCCTAACCATCTTTATTTTCACAGGCAAATCAGAATTATAAACTGTTGGCTTGGAGCACATGCCTTGTTTTCACTTGTGCTCCCCTTGTCCATTACGGGGGGGGGAGGTCTTCTGCCGTGAAGTGCAAGTTCCCATGGCTCACTCAAGACCAATGTCTTTCAAAGACTGAAAAGTGGCTACCACAAGAGGAATGCACTTCACAGTGGAGGGCCACTTCACAATGGACAAAAAAGGACTGTGCGTGGCAACAAGATATAGGATCCAAACTAATGCAAGAATTTGACACTGAGACTTGGACTGAAGTGAGTGACTTGAATGATAATGGTTGACAAAAAACAATTGTCTACTTGTTTTGGAACAGTCACACTGGATTCGTGCACCGTGTGTTTCAGTCTTTCCTTTCATGCACATTTAGTGTGGCTTTTGAATGGGTATGAAAAGGGTAGGTTAGACAGAGAGACTGTCCTGAGGTCAGCCAATAAGCTCCGTAGCCTCATTTAAGGTGTCATCTCCAGGGCAGCGCACAGCCGAGCATCTGATGATGACCTTATTTCAGGTAAGCGCCTGAAAAAACAGGATGTCCTTCAGGTACCTTTCAGTTTCGGACTTAGACACAGAGGCCTCTGGAATTCTGTGTTAAAAAGTCAACATACTTAGATCATACTAGTGATATCAAGCAAATATGCACCGTGATTTTTTTTATAAAGGCATTTCCCACCAGCGGGTACAGTCACAATACTTCTGTGAGAGTGATAAAGGGAACATCATGGGCTGGGGATCATGAAAAAACACCCAGCAGTTTTGCCAAAGAGTTCACCCTCAAGCAGGCACACAAATATAGTTTCAAGATAATGTAGCATTTACATTCTCTAGAGCAGCGGTTCCCAACCTTTTGGCATGGTGACAAGGAGGATCGGGAGAGAAAGAATGATGCAGAGGGT